ATGTCTCTTCGTAACAGGCTGCACCCAGAGACTCCAATATCCCTTAATTAAGGAATATACCTTAAATCATATTAAGGATCCTACTATAATTTAAGGTATATTCCTTAATTAAGGGGTATTGGAGTCTCTGGGCATACTAGGCTCACAGGCAGCCTCTAGTGGGTTCACTTACTCAACGAACCTGCGGTTCTCCGTTGTGGCTGGCCCTGGGACCCCGTCTCGACTGACAGTTTTATGCTGAACAAGGGCCACTTTTTCGCAGGAGCGACGGCAAAGCGCCAAGAATTTGTAGAAGCTCTAGGACACTCACGAAGGCCCAGCTACGTGCTGGCCATGGACGGTGGTCCTTTCGCCGCCCCGTGTGATGCCATAAAACCATAAGACCCGACAAACCCGCCTTCAAACCCGAGACACAAGAAAAAGTTGGGTAGAACCAATGAATCCAAGCCCCTAAATCTAGACTCCTGAGCCCTAGACGCCCAAATCTTGAATCCCTAGACGTGAAACCGGAAACGCTAAACTCGAAAGCATGAAGCCCAAATATAGAAGCCCAAACAATTACCAATACCCTTCCATAGGGTCCCTGAGCATGATTATACTCTACAGGAGCCCAGAAGCCTACTCGAACTATGGCCCCTACATTAAGCCCAAGCCCCCAAGCCTCAGATCTTCAACCGTGAACTGAAGCCCGCACCCTTATAGCGCCCTTGTACAACTTCTATGGTTTAGGGTTTCGGGTTTAGGGTCTATGGTGTAGGGTTTAGGGTCGATGGTTTAGGGTTTGGGGTTTAGGGTGTAGGGTAGAACCCCTAACAATCCTCGACCAGAACAACTCACAAAACTTGTAAACCCCCAGACCATATAAACCTCAAAACCCTAAGACCTCCGACCCCAAAACTTAAAAAGCCAACCCTTATAGAACCTTTAGAGCCCTTGTAGAAGAGAACGCTAAACCCTAAACCCTCGACCCCAAACCCCAGACCCTAAACCCTAAACCCTAGGCCCTAGACCCTAAACCCTAAAGCCCAGACCCTAAACCCTAAACCCTAAACCCTAGACCCCAGACCCCAGACCCTTAACCCTATAACAACATCCCAGGCACCTTAAACCCCAAATTTCGAAAATCCTAAAGCCCCCCAAGCCCTCCAACCCTAGAGCCCTAACCCCATTTACCAGCCAATACCCTGAAGCAAGAGCGGTTTAGGGAAGTTAGGGTTTAGGGAAGTTTAGGGCTTAGGGTTGGGGGTTTAGGGAGAGGACGTGCTGACTGCCGATTTAGTGCCGGAGATGACCGGTGCAGGGGCAGCTTCCTGGCGATGTTGAGGGTCTCACACGGTAGTCCTAATGTAGGGGTTACAGCAGGGTTATGCCTTCAATATAGGGGGATAGTGGGATACGTCACGTTCTATTATTGATGCCTTCGGATGGATGTGTCCAACCTTGAATTTACCCCAACTCTTACAGATTCTTTTGCCTGTCACAACAGCACCAGAAAGACGCATTGAAGAAATCCAAAACCCTAAACCTATGTAGCATTAGGTCTAGGACATTTTCAGGTGGGTAGCTACCGTTATAGGAGCCTTACAGAAAGTCTATATACCTTATAGAAGCCTTATAGAAGCCTTATATAACATAAACTCCCCAGCTGTAGTTTCCTTTAATTAGGCCTAAAGTTCTGAACGCTACAACTCGCAAAATTGAGACCATACCCCTGCACACCTAACTTTGCCCTGCCATTCCCAACACGAAAGCCTTAGAACAGCTTCTGAACTTAAATGTTCTGGCTGTAGACTTTAGAATTGGCTTGGGTCTTATGGCAACACAGACTTGCTTTCTAGGTCAGAAACCCAAAACCCTTTAACCCTAAATCGCCGGACCCTAAACCGCAGACCCTGTACCCTAAACTCTTTTCCGTTTGAAGTCCCAGTCTGTTCTTCGTGACTGGAGGTCGGAGTGCTCGTAATCATACTGGGTTGTTTTTAGGGTTTAGGGTTTAGGGTTTAGGGTTTAGGGTTGTCGTCCTTGTATAAGGTTTTGGGTTTAGGGTTTAGGGTTTAGGGTTTAGGGTTTAGGGTTGGTGTCATGTACCCCGAAGCCTTGTTCTACTTGCCAAGCCCATCCGAGTAAACACTGTTAGATGTCTCCATGTGGCTTCAACATGCGTGTTGTGGGGCTTCGAACTGCAACTTCGCAGTTTTAGGCTTAAGATTCAGTTGTGGTCGGGACTGCTTAAGGCCTGGGCTTTCAGACTAAATTGCCTTTGTAGAACTTGTGTATTGAAGGGGCCGTTTGAGGTGATATCTGCCATCGGCAGCATCGGCTCGGCTGATGATGAACAAGGGAACGGAGCCACCAACGAAGCTGCAGTTGCATCAGCAGCAAAAGCTGGAGTGAAGCGCTTCGTCCTAGTGTCTGCGAGCAAGGACAGTTCCATGTGCTTAATGCAGGAAGCTTCAACAACAGGGAGCACAGTTCCTGTATACTACTGATATGTCTTTTACATGGCAGCTTGTTGCAAGATCCCCGCAAGTAGTGTTGAGTTTGTTCGAGTGCCGTTCTTGCGGCAGTGCATTGCCTTGTCATTCATGTCCCATAAACCCTAAACCCTAAACCCTAAACCCTAAACCCTAAACCCTAATACCCTAAACCCTAAACTTCACAGCCTGGCCTTGAGGAAGCTTTGCAGAGTCGCACCCACCGTCCGAAGCCGAAATCCACACGCTGCAAACTCTTGAAGATGCAAACTCTCGGTGAATGACGGTTTAGGGTTTAGGGTTTAGGGTTTAGGGTTAATGAGCCGCAGCAACAACACAAACAAAGGAACAGCCTAGCCTAAACCACGAAACCACGAAACCCTAAGCCTCTTGAGCCTTGTGCAGGATGTTGGTGAAGCTGGAGCTTCCCAGTCTGATTGATGTAGGTGATCCGAGGGGCTTAGGATTTGGAGCTGAGGGTTTTCGGTTTCGGATTTGACGTTTTGTCAAAAAGAGCACCCGCGAGAGCTTCCCTCGTATGAAGTTGCATGGCACTTGGCTTTACCGAGGTTGATGCCATTTTCGGACCGTATGTCAAGGGCAAGCAGCGTGCTGAAGCAGCAGTGAAAGCCAGATATTCCGACAGCAGCCTTGTTCTGCAGCCGAGCTTTATTTATGGCGGCGATGAATTCAGTGCTACACCGCCGCGGGTGGCTGGATGGTATGGCGAGAAGGACACCTGTCTCCCGTGTCATGCTTTGTTTCCAAGCCTTCAGTGCCCTAAATCCAACTAAATCCTGAAGCCTAGACCCTAAACCCTAAACCCTAAGCCCTAAACCCTAAAGAACGAAAGCTAAACCCTTAAACCCTAAATCCTGAGCTCCTCCGAATCGGAAGTCAAAACCGATCCTGCGGGCTTGTTTGCGACTTCCAAACGGGTTTAGGGTTTAGAGTTTAGGGTTTAGGGTTTAGGGTTTAGGGTTTAGGGACCCTCACGTGAGATATTCTTCAGATCATGCTTGGGTATGGGGTTTAGGGTTTAATCTAGGGTTTAGGGTGTAGGGTTTAATTTAGGGTTTAGGGTTTTATCCAAGAAAAGCCTGTAAGGGTTCCATATCTCAGGGGGTATTGAAGCCTGTAAAGCAAAGGAAGCTTTCCATGCGCTTCACTTTGGGATCGGTTTAGGGCTTAGGGTTTAGGGGTTCAGGGTTTAGGATTTAGGGTTTGGGGTTTAGGGTGTAGGGGTTTAGGGGTTTAGGGTTTAGGATTTAGGGCTTAGGGGTTTAGGATTTAGGGTTTAGGGTTTCAGGTGGAGAACCTCTTGGCTACAGACCTGTTCAGAGCAGCCGCTTCCGCATCGCCTGCCTTCCTGCGACTCGCGCTCTCACCACCACTTGCTGTGGCTGGGTCTTTGTTGAGGAACTTCGTTTTGCTACCACAAAGGATTGCATGCATGTTACGACTTAGTAAAAGGTAGCTTTCATAGAGTTAGTATAAATCCCCGAACATTCATAAGTGCAGGCGAAGTCCCAACGCAAGCCCAGGTCGATGATGTCGCGAAGGCAGCAGTGGCCGGCGCTGCTGGGCGTGCGACCGGAACTTTGGAAAGTCATGATGCCATCGTGGCAGCCCGCTAATTTTCGAGCTCAATTACGAGATGCCATGAGAAAATAATTTTGATCATCTTATTGGGCGATAATTTTGAAAATTTAACTAAAAGATTCAATATGCTACAGGCACATTTTTAAATTATTCGAATCATTTGAATAAGATATGAAAAATTAAGATAGATAATAAGTTATTGAATGATATAGACAAATACTAGATTTTATAATAATTTCTATACTTCTGAATATAGAACTTATTATTGTTATTAAGAATCTAAAATAATCATTATCTCAATAAATAATTTTTATTATTTGAAATAAAACATAAATCTAATAATCTAAGCTATTAATAAATAAAGAAGAAAAATATAATACTAGAAATAATAGAAATATGATATACGAATAATTATATTCTCGACTATGAAATTTTTATAATTGATTTAATTTTCTCTATATTGTAAATTATATGAAAGAAAGCAAAATATAATTTCGCGAAATATCTATAATAATAATATTAATTTTTCTTTTTATGAAGATTATCTATTTGAATTTTTGATATCTTTAAAATTCAGAATTATTAGTATTTATAAACTTAATAATTATTGGTAGAATAAAAATAATATTATTATTATTAATATGAAAATAGAATTATTATTCGTTCTATTGATAATATTGGGAGTTCTTTCTGATTATTATTATTAGATAAAGGTTATTCTCTGATAGATAAGATTAATATTTTAATCCTAAAATAAAAGGTTTTTAGAAATTTGCAATTTATTTGCTTAAAATTTCTTAGTTATTGTGGTTTTCTCCCAGCGCTAAAATCTCATGGAACCTTGTTAGAAGCTCTTACTTCTACTTCTCGTAACGATTTGTCATCGAGTAGCTCGCAATTTATAGCTTAGGTTTCTAAGTAAAGCGGTAAAAATATATTTTCGTGAAAATTCCGTATTTGGGGCACGAAAATTATTTTTCTATTCTTGAAGGATATCATTATAGAATGAAAGAATTTAAATTAATAATTATTGAAATAGAAATTTATGATATAGAATTTATGATATTCTATTTCTTATAGATTTGGAGTTGTCTATGATGATTGGCGATAATTTCGATATTAATAAGATCTAATAGTTCCTAGAATTTATAGATATATTATTGATTAGATTGATTAAGATATAATTCATAAAATTCCGGGAGATATCGGATTGATATATTATATGACATATTGAAATTTGGAATCATTTAATATTTTATATGAGATTATAATCGAATATTTTTATTCTATTTTCTAAATTTTTATTTTAATTTATTTTTTCGATAAAAATATGATATTATCGGAATTCAATATTATAGAGGGTGATTAGATATTTGATATATATCATATATATCAAGAATATCTTAATCTAATATGCAAAGATATCTTGAAGATCTATTATATCTAATATATAAATAATGCAGATATAATGATTAAATCGGAATATATAAAGATAAAGAATAGATGAGGACGTGAAGGGATTATCGTCGATAGCATGACGAGGTATATCACGGGAATGGGCACCAGGGCAGAATAGATAATGATAGTGTGTTGTGCATGGGCGGAGTGATATATCTCGAGATGGGGAGTGTCATGGAGTGGGGGGAGAGGTTCTAGGGGAGTATCGTGGCGTCATGGGCGAGAGCGGATTAAGAGGGAATGACGTGGTATGAAGGGAGCGTCGTGCGAATTTGAAAGGACTGCGACGGAATAACGATCATATATTATTAGTGGGAGAATATAAATCGAGGAGAATCCCGCAATATAATATAATATAATATGTAGAAGCTATTCGAATCGAAAGATGAATAAATTCTCTAATGAAATCTCGTCGTGTTGATTGCGTCGGATTTTTTTTCATGAATATAATTTGATTTCTTCAAAATCTCTTGAAGGTCTGTCCCACGATAATAAATTCCAGAAATTTTCGATAAATATATTCGCGACCATAAAATTTTCAATATTTTCTGGGATATGCTCGTCATAAAAAAATTTCCGAAATTTTAGTGCCACAAGCTATGCTTTCCTCTAGATATATATATATGAATATCTATATATATATATATCTATCTATATATTTATTTATATATCTATCGGGGCATCGCTCCGCACGATTCTCTATATATCTCTCTAGGCGTCTTATTACATATATCATCGCTCTATTGAGCGGATTTTTTTTAATTCTATTTCAATTCTAAGGACGCAAAAAGCCCTTCCATAAATCTCCTTCGTGTTTTTGAAGCGCTGGCATACTTCTGAATCATTTTATAATATCTCTTTCGTATGCCCTTCCGCGGTACATTTTGCGAGCGAATCTTTCCGCAAGAGCATAAATCTTATTTGATATATTATACTAATTCCTTTCGATAAATGCGGGCACCATAATTTATCTTATAATGATTCGTGGGCATGCCTCGGGATTCCTGGAAGCAGACCTGCACCCGGAAGAGTACAACATTAGCTGATTCAAATACTATTGTATATTTCAGGCGAGACATATCTTCTTTGGGGGCGGCGGCTTATATATTTAGTGTTGCCGCATCCTTCCGTGGAATATCTTCTTCCGCAACCCTTCCGCGCGCACAATCCCAGCAAGATTTGGAGATCAAGTGAAAATTTTATAATCAAGTTTAATCTGCCATGAGAAGCGCTCTATTCCCTCTCAAGATTTTATGAAAAATACCAAGATATTTTTCTCGGAGCAGAATATATACGAATCTATAAAGACCTTCAATAAGACGAGAAATATAAGAAATTCAAGAATTTATATATATATATATTCATAGAGAAATAACTATCTATATCTATTTTTATTTATCTATTTCTTTCTAGCTCTATTTTTAAATTTATATATTTATTTATTTTAATTTAATAATCGAATTATAATCCATTCCTTTAATCGAAGAAGATTTCGAATATAGTTAAGATTCCATAAGATATTAAATTATAAATTTTAAATAAAATAAATATATTAAAATTAATTCATAATCTCATATATCAAGAAAAATAAATAGATTCTTAATTATTATAATATTTATGAGAATTTAAAAAAATCTTTTTATCCTAAATAAGATTATCATCCTAATTCGTAATTATTATAAATTTATTATTTTTTTTTTCCGACAATAAAGTTCAACAATATTATGAATTCTTCTTCTCCAGAAATCTAGAATTAAATTAATTAGTATTCTTAATTATTTGTTATTATCAAGTATTTGATATTCAATTTGCAAAATCACATATATATATATATATCTAAATATGTATTTTTTCTTTATAATTATAAATATAAAATCATTAAATGGCAATTATATAAAATTTAAGAAAACTATCAGTCTTGTATAAATAAAAATTATATAAAGAAAAAATATTCTTCTGCACATCAATGGCCAAGTTATAATTAGAAAAATGAATAATTAATTTCGTAGTTTGCGTAGATCTCCCCATTTCATATTATATTATATATCCCAAAATTACCATCCTTGAGCGTTGTATAGGGCAGAGAGAGCAGCAATGAATCCCAAACCAAGACATGAAATTAGTGTAGAAGCCTTCGCAATTAAAATAGGATTCAGGCCATGCTATACCATACAGGAGCCACCAAAATGTGATTGTTTTTTTATGAAACGCATGCTTCGGTGTTTCGTTTTGTTGCCGTTGAAAGCCTCAGAGGCCCCAAACCCTCAACTCACAACCCTAAACCCTAAACAGTTTTCCGCCTCCTTCAGCAGCTTCGGAAGTCTATCACCTGTGGACCTGCGTCAGGGTCCGAAACCCAAACTGTTCGGTGTTTTGTTTAGGGTTTTTTTTTTAAAGTGCATTGGCCCCTTTCTCCGCATGAAGTCGGCGCCCGCCTGTATCAGGCTTGCACTAGGTGGCAGGGTTATACAGATAGCCACCCAATCTTAACTGCGGGTTTAGAGTTTAGGGTTTAGGGTTTTCTTAAAAGGCTTAAGGTTTAGGCTCTTCTGATAAAGATGGATTGTGAATAAAAGAGCCCCTTGAGAGAAACCAAAAGCTTGCCCCACATAGTGATAGGGAAAAAGGTATGCAAAGAAGATGAGGGTCGATACCGAGTTTCGATGGCACGGTTTTTTGGGTTGCTTTATTGCGGTATGGAAAGTTTAGGTTTTCAACTTTTGAAATCCAAAAAAATAATCCCAATAACGGGACGAACAACAACCCCGAAGCACGTCAAACACCCGCGATCTTCAAGCCCCAGGCCATAAGGGTTTAGGGTTTAGGGTTTAGGGCATACAAACCACCTGTACACAAACCTAAACCCGGCCCAAAAACCTTGAGCCCTAAACTCCGTAGAACGCTTGAAGTCCGAAACCCTGGGCAACCCCTAAAGAACCGCTGAAAAAACCCTAATGAGTTAAGGGTTTTGGGGTCCCAGGGCAGTTGTCTAAATTAGGGTCCCTTTGGGGGACCTTTTTATGAGGGTGCCGTACTACATGGGGGGACTAGAAGGGGGCCCTAATTTAGAGAACTACCCTAAACCCTAAACCCTAAACCCTAAAACCCTAAACCCTATACCGTCTCAACCCCGAACCGAAACCCTCCCTTCCGGCTGCCTCCGCGAGGTGCGCTTCGCCGCGCGATGGCCCCAGGCTCCAGAGCATAGCCACGGAAGCCGGCCCTTTGACGTCTTTTACATAGGGCTTTCAGGTTTAGGGTTTAGGGGTTTAGGGTTTAGGGTCCTTTGTTCACTTAATCTTGTTATCTCTGGCTGCCGTGTTCAGGGTTCCAGGGTTTAGAGACATGTACTTCAGGCGTTTGGGCCATTCTTTAGATCTGAATGCTGTAAAAACCTTGGAAACCTAAAGCCTCTCACCCGTAAGTCAAGACGTGGATCCTCGTCTTCTGCCTGAGCTTGCTGCACTCCAGATTACGCGACATGGCCTTATTGCTGATGTTGGTCACTACCCGCAGCCACGGTGACTACAACCATCCTTATTTACAACTGATGCTCGCAAATCGCATCATATTACTGCAACTATCATGCCCGCACTGGAACTAGAAAAACGACTCCAATAATTAAGCAAGGCTGGTATCATAGCAGATCTTAGCGCAGAGCCGCCATCGCCATTATCATTACCACTGTCCCAATACTTACAGTACTAGCTGCTGCTGCTGCTACTTCTGCTGCTGTTGCTGCTGTTGCTGCTGTTGCTACTCCTTACCATGCCGCATTGCTGCATTCGGTTCTCGCTGTTGCTGCTGCTCTGCTGTTGTTTCTGGCGTTGTTTCTGGTGTAGTTTCCGGTGTTGATGTTGCTGTTGCTGCTGATGTTGCTGTCCCTGTTGCTGCTGCTGCTGCTTCTGCTGCTGCTGTGGCGGCTGTGGCTGTCGGTGTTGCCGTTGCTGTTGCTGTTGTTGTCGTCGTCGTGGTGGTTGTTGTTGTGGTTGTTGTTGTGGTTGTTGTTGTGATTGTTGTTGCTGTTGCTGTTGCTGTTGCTGTCCCTGTTGCTGTTGCCGTTACCGTCGTTGTTGTTGTTATCGTCGTCGTCGTGGTTGTTGCTGCTGTTGCTGCTGTTGCTGCTGTTGTTGCTGCTGTTGTTGTTGTTGTTGTCGTTGTTGTTGTTGTTCAGCGGCGCGGGTAGCACCACGCCTTTCGTCTTTGGACTCCGGGCACGTGTCAAAGTGTGTGGGAGTCACCACAATTACTCTTGTGTACCTGTTGGGCCTAGGCCATCGGACAGAGACGGGTTGATTTTTGAAGGCACGCTTTACCATGAGTCGGGACGTCTCCCTGCTCGAAGTTGAAGAGGGAAAACCTTGACACATTTGTGTGAATCCCTCGCTGTCCTGAGCTTTACAGCTTTCCAACTGCAACCAAGTCACGCTTGAGGGCTACCTTGCCGGGAAGGTCATCGGGGGCTTGCTGTTTGTTAAGGGGGCTAAGACTTGCAATCAGAACAGGGATTCGGGCACCGTGTCCGAAGTCTTCAAGGGCGGGTTGCAGCTGCTGTGTGCCGCTATGTCCGAACTCTTGTGGCTGAAACGGAAGTCCGAAAGCATGGTCGCTGTTGTGCTGCTAGGCCCGATCTCCCCTCTGTTCCTAGAGGCACCTCTACCAACACGTGCAAAAAGACTCGCGGATTCTCTTCCTACATCAAGCAGGAAGATCAACTCAGGCTAGCAAAGTTCCTTTTTCAAGCCGATGTCAGCTGCAGACGCGACTGCAACATCTGTCTCAAAAGGCACGCCTAGATTTGGCATGGCCTATCGCCTTGGCCGTGGAAGGCCTGCCCAGGTCGAGTGCCTTCGCCCTTCTTTCCACACCCTTGCGGACAACTGCTGGTCGCTGGTAAAGTCATTTCTTCTTTCCCTGATCCTTCCTTCAAAAGACAAACGCAGCAGATATATTTCGGCAGGTCTACGGAGCGTCCGAAACTTGGCGGAAGCGGAGGTACGACTCGGGTCCCCATCACCGTGCACCCGCCTGGCTCGGGTCTTTGGACACATGTTGAAGGGCACATGCTGCCCGGAGGGTACGTAATTTCGCGTCCGCCTTGACAGGCACAGCAGATCTCCGATGAATCCCCTGTTGTAGTCGTGGTTGCATCCTGGTTCAAGGAGCTCTGGTAGTCCATGGCGTCTAGTCCGCTGCTGCGATCGTCTCGCATTGCCCCGGCGAGACTCGCGGGACCTGTCCACATCGCCGCAGCCGCCAGGAGTATGCGCAGCATCCTGACGAACTTGATCAAACTTGGTAAACAACGCCTGTCACGGGATTGAGCTTCAAACAGGCTGCAGTTCGGGCGTCCGTTGTTCGAACATCCCTTAAGTTTGAAGGCGCCCCTCTTCCACAGATGAAAGCTTCAGATCTCAGGCTCTCTTGGTAATATACGGGCCTAAATGATTACCAATATTCCTCTGGGGGTTCCATATTATACTTCAAGTATAAAGCCCTATTCTAACACATGCGATCACCCTCCAGCCCTTGGGGGGTCCTTCCCGAGGTGACCGGTCGCTTCTTCGTGCTTTCTAGGGTATTCTGCTTTTTCTGTGTTTTTGGAGTTGATGAACAGGGTCTCGGGTTCACTGGCACGAACATGAGAATAGGGTTCTGGGTATAGCTTTGTGTACTCAGCATGACGCTACGAGGCTACATAATGTTACAAAGTATTCAAACCCTGTATCGTGAGATGGATCCTAAACCCTAAACCCTAAACCCCAAACCCTAAACCCTAAACCCATACCCATTACCTTCAAAGCCCACGGTGTCTTTGATGGCAAAGGCTACATGGGGGCCTGCAGGGCTATAGAAGTTCTAAGCACCCAGGCCCAGAAACACCATGCACCATGTAGGGTTTAGGGTTTAGGGTCCTTCCACTGAAACATCTTAAACCTTCAAGCCTCAGACAAACCGACACCTCTGAACAGACCCTCCTTGGGGGTCTGGGGACCTGAACGCCATCCCACTTCAAGTCTAAACAGGTAGTGGGAGAGCCAGGCACACAGGAGCCCTGAGAAACAGCAGTTGGTGTTTTCATGAACGTTATCGCGATGACGGTGATGATCTTGTGATGACGGTACTGGCTGGTAGCGGTGATGACGGCTTTCGACAGCTGTTTTCACTAGTGTTCTTCATCACAATTTTTGTGGTGGTCCAATGTCCCATGTCTTCAAAGAACAGTTGGCTGAAACAGAAGTCCGAAAGCATGGTCGCTGTTGTGCTGCTAGGCCCGATCTCCCTTCTGTTCCTAGAGGCACCTCTACCAACACGTGGAAAAGACTCGCCGATTCTCTTCCTACATCAAGCAGGAAGATCAACTCAGGCTAGCAAAGTTCACTTTTTCAAGCCGATGTCAATTGCAGACGAGACTGCGACATATGTCTTGAAATGTCTGTCTCAAAAGCCACACCTAGATTCGGCATGCCTCGTCGCCTTGGCCGTGGAAGGCCTCCGCACGTACAGTGCCTTCGCCCTTCTTTGCACACCCTTGCGGACAACTGCTGGCTCTTGGCAAAGTAATTTCTTCTTTGGATTTGCCGTCTTTGCCAGGACAAACGCAGCACATTTTTTTCGGACTGATGGGCTGGGGATATGCTTGAATCGGAGGAGACATGATGGGTGTGATCGCTTCTAGGCTGCACCCGCCCGGCTCGGGTCTTTTGACACATGTTGAGGGGCATGCGCTGCCCGGAGGGAACGTAATTTCGCGTCCGCCTAGACAGACACAGCAGATCTCCACTGCATCCCCTGATGTAGCCCTGGTTCAATCCTCCTTCATGGTGCTGTCGGACTTCGTGGCATCTCGCATTGCCCAAGCGAGACTCGGCGGACTTGTCCACAGTCACGCGGCCAGCAATACCATGCGATGCATCCTTCTAAACCTTGTAGACAACGATAGTGATTGAGCTTCAAAGAGGCTGCAGCTCGGGCATTTGGTGTTTCAAATTTCCCTAGAGCCCGAAGGCCCCCCCACCTCTTTCAAGCTTCAAATCTCAGGCTCGGAGGGTGAGGTGTTGTGCTGGAAGTTGAAGCGTCGCTGTATTCATACAGAGGTTTAGCTTCAGGGTTTCTGTCAATCCTTCCCGAGTATGTTTCAGGGTGCTCAGACTTCTCTGGGTGAGAAGGTTTCGGGTTCACTGCAAGTCTGATGCTTGGGGGCAAGTCAGACCAGGATAGATTTCTTGGACCAACTATCGCACCCTCTGAAAGCCCCAAACCTTAAACGCCTTAAGCACTCTCAGCACAGCTTCGGTAGATGCCATCAAACAAGAAGTGCTCGAACTTGACTTTGGCTTTCCTCGGTTCCGTCGGCTTTCTCAGGAGCATGTTTCTGAGTTTGGGGTTCGGGGGTTCGGGTTTAGGGTTCGGGGGCTACAAGTCCTGACCTTCACTGCAGGTCACTCTAGGTTTAGGGTTTAGGGAACTTTTGGGTTTAGGGGTCTATATGTTCTGCCCCTCGGCTGCTGTTTACAATGAGTTCCTATCTATCCTGAAGCGAAGAGCGCTCTGGTCCTCGGCTTGTACAGGCCATCATGTCGTATGCTGTTGCGTGGTGCGACGTAACTTCTGCGTCATCATGGGCTGAACCCGAATGCCTCGTGCTGCAAGTCCGACGCCGAGGTTTTGAAGAAAGCACCAGACCCCTCAGAGGACCTCAAACGGAGGCATCTCATCCCTGAACCCAAGACCCATATATAATACTGTAGCATAGTAAGATCTGATATGATAAAACAGTCATATATATATATATATATACATATACAATCTAATATCGAAACCCAGATTCTGAAGACCATCTGGGTTGTTCTCTAAATTAGGGTCCCTTTGACAAGGATGCTGTACTATTGTGGGGACCTGCAAAGATTTGGAGAACTACCCATTTGCACAGCCATAGTACGTGGGCGCTTCCCACAACCTCATTGCGGCCAGAGGATGGGGGGTTTCGCGGAGCGCAGGGTTCCGGGCTCAAGGTTTTGGGATTTCGGGATCAGGGTTTAGGTTTGTAGGGAGGTTTTACGAAATTCTGAGCAGGTTGCATGGGTTGGGTCGGAGGGGTGCGGGGAGGGGGTGCGGGGGGGGGGGGGGGGGGAAATCCTCGGGAATTGCGCTGCTTGGTACCACTAGGAAGCAAGATCACATCACAACGCTATCATTAAGTTAGGCTAAAGTTAAAGTAACAGCTACCACTAGTCCCTAAACCCCAAACCCCGGGTGTTTCGTTACTGTATCTTACCGTAGTTAAGGCGACGGACCCAATCCAAGCCGTCAACGCCGGACCGGAAAACCAGTATCCTGTACTTTAGGGGGTATTTCTTCGTATAATCTAGGGGCCTTAATAATTAGNNAAATTCCTAAAGCCTAAACCCCTAAAGCCGCACCTCCAGGGCGTGCAAGCGCCTTCCTGTTGCAGCACTGATGCGCCGGCAAGGCCCCGAAGGCACATCTCCATCGTGAAAGGAACTCCAGGCGATGTTTCCAATCCATCTAATGTAGGGGCCTTAATAATTAGAACAGGGTTTTTTGGGGCCCATTATACTATAATCATAATAAGGAACCCCCAACAGAGTATGGGTAATATTCCTAATTCACATGTAAAACACGAACATTCGGGCGGTTTGAGTTCATGGTTCAGGGTTGCGATGATGGGTGGAATGTATATAGCTTCATTTGAGGCATTTCGAATTTCTTCTCTGGGCAATTGCGACAATCAGGGCCCCAGAAGGGGTAATCGATCAGAGCAACCCCACGCGATGTCATTATGAAGCGACAGTAAACAGGGGACCCCGACATAGAACCTTGTAAATGATGGGATCCTTCTGTACCGACAAGTAATTAAATCGGGCAACCATAAACCTGAGAGCACCCCGCACCCCTAATTAAGAGACCCCATCGGCATGCAGTACAATCTAAACATCCCTAAACCCAAAACATGCCCTACACATGAACATCAAGAAACCCGGCCTTCAGAACGAAAAGGAACAAATTTTGGGTTTAGGGCTTTGGGTTTAGCCCTAAACCCTAAACCCTAAACCCTAAACTAAAGTTTAGGGCTCAGGGTGAACAAAAAATGCGAACTCTGCCTCTCCAGTTGCAGTTGCGACGAAGCGGCACGCCGAAGCGAAGAAACTTCTTCGCCCAGCGAAGGGTAATCTGGCGGCAAAGAGAATGTAGGGGCCTTAATAGTTAGAATGGGGTTTTGGGGTATATTATACTAGAATGAGATTTTAGGGTGTTTAGGGTTTAGGGTGTTTAGGGTTTAGGGTGTTTAGGGTGTTTAGGGATGTAGGGGTGAAGAGTGCCGGGGTCTTTAGTAGGAAAGGTTTGTGATCACAGAGATATGTGCATGCTTGCTTGCACTTTGGAACAGGTTCTTCAGGCTCAGTCTCGGGCTTGGCTTCTGGTCTAAGTTCAGGTTTGGGACAAACCCGACAGCATAAACCTCAACTCCCTAAGTCCCCCAACCCAACTCAGCGTCTAGCTTTCTAGGGTTCCGGATGTTTGCAAAGGTGGGCATTGCCAGCTTCCCCCCACTGGCAAGGCAATGGTCTGGGTAGGCCCTGACGCAACTAAACCCTGAGCCTCAAACTAATGTAGGGGCCTTTATAATTAGAATAGGGCTTTGAAAGCTTTCATGGTATAGTTATAGTATGGAACATTTATTTAGGCTTCTATAGCGGTAGCCTTGTTTCTGGAATGGTGCTTAACAGAACACTAGGTCCAGGAGCAAGCCAAAGCAAAGCAAAGCAAGCACTCCCTCAAACCCAAACTCTAGAACCCGGTGTTAAAGGAAACTACAGGTGGGGAGTTCAGGGTATATAGGGCTTCTGTAAGGCTTCTATAAGGTATATGGACCTTCTATAAGGCTCCTACTACACACCTGAAAATGTCCTAGACGGTGTAGGCCTCAACGTGTTCATCCTTGTGTGGATGCCTGCTACATCGTTCTGTCTGCTCGGGGCCTCAGGCTCTGTGTAACTCAATGACCGAATAATTTCAGGGTTTGGGGTTGCTGTTTAGGGATGTTTGGGGCCGCGGGTTTGAGAACACTAAATAGACCCGGAGCCCTGAACTAGCTCAGACCCCAAAGCGCGCACTAGGCCTAACACCCCGAACCGTAAACTAGGCAAGCCTAAACCCCAAACCACAACTGCCGCCCAGCATCGTAGTAGTTGTTCAGCGCGACGGGAAGCCTGAACGCGAGCCCGGCTCTCCGACACCCTAACCCTAAACCCTAAACCCTAAACCCTAAACCCTAAACCCTAAACTCTAAATCTTCATTTTAAGGCTTATACCCCAACACTTTCAGGCCCCTAAGCCACAGTCTCTAATATAGGGGCCTTAAGAATTAGAATCGGATAATTAAGCCAGACAGTTATGCTATAAGTATACTAAGGAACTACGGACCCAACACAATAGTATTATAGTATTGGTAACTATTTCGGCCCTGATACTACCTAAACCCTAAACCCTAAACCCTAAGCCCTAAACCACTAGGCTCCAAAGACATGGAACAACGCAATCTTCCGTCAAGGCACCCCGTGCCCGGCTTCAGGCGATTCACCACGCCGGGGAAAGGCACGGCGTTGGTGGCGTTGCCATGCTTCCTTGCTTTAGGGTTTAGGGTGTTTAGGGTGTTTAGGGTGTCTAGGGTGTCTAGGGTGTAGGGATCCACAGAAAGCTTCGTAAGGAGGTATGAGGGTTGAAGTTTTAGGGAAAAGTGTGGAAGTGTGCCCTGCCCGCACGACCCAAGCCCCAGACCGTGTGGTAGCTTCAGCTGTCTTGAGCGTAGGATGGTGTACTTGCACATGAGCCTGCTTCGTAAGTTCATCTTTCTTCGATTTGCCCTACAATTTTCGCAGACCCCAATCCGCCGACCCTGGCGGCGTGTTGGATGGGTCTCGATTCGGATTCGATGGGTTTGGAGGTGTTAACCTCCCTT